CCATCAATTACTGATGTCCAAGGTCAAACAGAAACTGAAGAAACAAAACAAGGCCATAAGAACCAAAATATGACCTTGAGTCTATCTCATCTAAATTTAAAAACCATCTCAGTAGGTCTGAGGCACTGAACACTAATGATCGAAGGCCAGATAAGTGGTGGTAGGACATCAAAGATATCCACAAAGAGAGGAAAAGTTCATTACGAAGACAGAGGAGGAGAAAGAATCAAAATGGATGTCAGAACAGACTAAAAATTGCACTAGAATATTGAAGCTAACACAACAGGAAGAGATGTGAAAGTAGAAGATGAACAAAAGATTTTAAAGGGAAGCTTGAGAAGACAAAATGTAATGTGCAAAGATCTGGAATCAGAATAAAAAGCCCTCCATTTCTCCAGTTACAAGAATTGAAAAAACAAAATCACAGTTACAATATTGAGATATACTATGTGAAAAATATTGAATGATCTAGGAAGCATTAAAAGATGATGAAATGCATACATAGAATTAATGTTCCAAAAAGAATTGGCTGCCATAAAATAATTTCAGGAAGTAGCATATGACCAACAACCAACAATGATGAAGGAAGAATTTCAAGCTGCAATGAAGACATTGGCAAAAAATAACACCAAGAATTTATGGAATACAAATTAACATGTTCCAACAAACAGAAGCAGTCCTGGACAAGGCAACCAGGGCCAAGAAACCTGGAAGACACGTCCCCAGCCAACTAACTGAAAGAGATCCATATTAGTACTCATTCCTTAAAAATGTGATCAAACAGAATGTGGAAAGTACTGAACATTACTATCACAAGCAAACAAAATATTGCTGAAGATTATTTTTTAAAATGGCTAGAACAGTTCATCAACAGAATTGCTGGACATTCAAGCTGGATTTAGAAGAAAACTTGCCCCAAAGGATCTCATTACTAATGTCATCTGGATCTTTGCTTCAAGTGGAGAATACCAGAAGAATGAATATTTGTTTTATTGACAATGCAAAGGCATTTGACTGTGTGGATAACAAAAACTTTAAGCTCATAGTAAGAATGAGAATCCCCAATTACTTACGTGTTCTCATATGAAACCTCTCTCTAGACAGACAAACTGTCATATCAGCAAAGCAAGGAAATACTGCATGGTTTAAAATCAGGAAAGAAGCATGTTATATATCTCCTCTCCATACTTATTCAGTCTATAATATGCTGAGAAAAATAATATGAGAAGTTAGACTACATGAAGACGACGACTGTGGCAGTAGGATTGGAGGAATGTTCATCAACAGCCTGCATTATGCACATGACACAACTTTGCTCAGAAACAGGACTTTAAGCACTTGCTGCAGAAGATCAAAGACTAAAGTCAGAATGAAGGCTGTACAGTGGAGTGGACTTGGGGGGGGGGAAATTACATGACAATGAAAGAGTTTTCCTTTAACTCTTCAAGGAGAAGACTGAATGGGGAAGGAGAGGGTGGGCAAAGAGAAAAGTGAAACAACGAATGAATGGAAACCCTAAGTCTCTAAACTTAAAATTAATTTTAAAAATGGGGGAAAAAAGACTAAAGCCTTCAATATGGATTACATCTCAACATCAAGAAAACGAATTCTCACCGCTGGATTGATGGGAACCATCATGATTGTGGATCCAAATAAGATGAACTCATTCTCTATCAACAAACTTGGTACCTGAAGTAAGAAAATCAAAAGATGTATTGTACTGGGAAAGTCCTCTGTGATGAGCCTCTCCAAAATTCTAAAGAGTAATGATGTTAGTTTAAAGACTGAGGTGCACCTGTTCCAAGCCATGGACTTTTCCATTACATCTTTTCCTATACATCTGAAAGTTAGACAATGACAAAGGATTATAAAAGAAGAATTAATGCCTTTGCATTGTTAGTGAAGAGTCTGAATATCCCATGGATTGACAAAAGAACAAACAAGTTTGTCTTGGAGGAAGTGTGACAAGGGTGCTCCCTGGAAGCAAGGACCATCAAGTGGCATGTCACATAAATTGGGAATGTTGCTACATTGGCCTAAATTGGACATATTCCTTGGAAAGAGATATCATGCAGGAAGGTGGAGGGTCAGTGAAAGATGATGACCCTCAATGAGATGGATTGATGTGACTGTAGCAATGGGCTTAAGTAAAAAGATGATGAGGATGACACAAGGTAGGACAGGGCTCAGATCTGAGTTGCAATCAACTTGATGGCACATTCGCAGCAGAAGCAAAGGGCGTGGTTTGATTTTTTTTTTTAAGGTGGTAAACATACAACTGTTGTCCAAAAGGCCACCCAGAGACACATTACAAAAAAGGCTTGGTAAATCTAATTCTGAAAACCTTAAATCAGAATCGACTCAACAGGAACTAACACTAATAAACAACAGAGCTTTTAACAAGAAAATGACTAAAATTAATGAAAGAAAATGACTGGAGGTTTTGGAGCCAGGGTTGCTGATGAATGACTGAGGCCTTAATTGTCTTGACTTATCTCTTTGCCTTGGTTACCCCAGTCTGTTCTTTTTTTTTTTTATATAATGATAAAAATGATGTCTGTTCATGATAAATATTAGAAAGTAAGTATAAAGAATCACCTGCCGCCTAAGGCTCAGAACCAGCTTTATTAATATTCTAGGGTGTCGCCACAACCTTTTTTTTCCATACTCATTTTCATATTCTCCTTATACAAAATTGAGATCTTGCAGAACATTTTCAGTAATAATTTTTTCTTCACAATAGCTCATGAGCATTTCCTCACGTTATTAAGTATTCTGAGAGCTCGATCCCCCCCCCCAGCTGCATAGTCTATTATTTCCATGTTTACTAGATTTCTCAAACCTATTTCAGGAGCTTATAATCATGAAAGTCCAGCAAACATCCGTGGATGTAATATTTACTTACATCATTAGTTATCTCCACCAGAAAGCCGTTTTTACACCTGTCACCAAGTTACAACCCCCTACACACACACAGAGCAAGAGAGAGAGACAGACAAACTGAGAAAAAAGTGCTAGTATTTTACCATGTCTCCAGCAGGACCTATTCAATCTGTATGTTGGAAAAAAATCATTCAAGAAGCTCGACTATATGAACAAGTAGACATCAGGATTGGAGCAAGACCCATCAACAACCTGTTACGCAGATGACACAACCGTACTTGCTCAAAGTGAGAAGGACTTAAAACACTTGGTGTAGAAGATCAAAGACTTCAATGTGGGTTTCATTTCAACACCAAGAAAAAGCACTCCAGAGAGCTAAAGAGCAAGGATGACAGTTTAATGACTATGATGCACCTGATCTAGGCTATAGTTACTTAGTTACTTCTTATGCATCTAAAAGTTGGACAATGACTAAGGATTATAGAGAAGAATTGATGCCTTTGAGTTGGGGTATTCAGCATTCTTCTTCAACACCACATGAACTGTCAAAAGAACAAACTGATCTGTCTTGGACAAAATGAAACCAGAGTGGTCCTCAGAGGCAAGCGTGGTGAAACTTTCTCACATACTTTGGGCATGTTCTATTCCTTGGAAAAGGACATCATGCTTGGAGAGGTGGAGACTAATATGGAGAGGAAGACTACCATTGAGATGGATCGACACAGTGACTGTGGGCTCGAGCATACCCGAGATGAGGAGGATGGTGTAGGATATTTACCATATTGGATATCTGCTTTCCCAGTTCAGATCTGCTATTCATAGGGTCATTATGAGTTGTCGTTACCTTGATGGAACCTCACAACAACACAGGGATACATGAATGTGGCCCCTTACAATCTCTGGCTATTACCAATTTTAAATGAGTATCATTTAGTAATGTAATAGATCTGTGCCCTAAGGAGCCTATCTAATCTTTTGAGTTGCTCTCGTCAGTTTCAGCCCTTACTGATAGCTCTTACAATAATATGGAAGGCATTTTTTTTTTCACAAGTTCAACTGTGCTTTTAAAGACTTCAGGAGACGTTGTGTTCAAAGGTTGTGGGTTCGATCCCTATACAGGCCAGTAGTTTTCATTTCGGTAGCTGTGGTGGCTTAGTGGGTAAGGAGTTACACTGCCCAACCAAAGGCAGGCAGTTTGAGTCCTCCAGCTGCTCCATGGGAGAAAGATGGGCAGTCTCCTCCCACACCATGTACAGCATTTGAAAAACACTTGCTGTGAGTCCATTCAGTGGCAACTAAACACTACAATCCTCCATTAGTGTTTTGTTTTGATGGTTTTTCCCCCCGATTCGTGTTTCAGAGTGATGCAAACAATTAAGATGCTTGGCTACGAAGTGAAAGTTTGGCAGTTTGATTCCACTCAGAGAGGCCTTGGAAGAAAAGCCTAGTGTCTGACTTCTGAAAACCCATTGGATTTCGTGAAAACCAATGTATTCAAACTTTGTAAATAAATCAGAATAAAAATAAGATTTTAAAACCCCACACTCTAAAGAGCACAGCTCTACTTTGAACCACGCGGACCTAACATGAGTCAGAGTTCACTGGATGGTAACTGGTATCCCTCCAGTCACCCAGGTTAGTCTAGTTTGCCTGATAGAGACCAGACACTGAGATAAATTTTGTAGATGGCAAAGAGAAGGGAAGCAGCAAAGGACCCATGAAGCAGCAGTGAGGGTCATTTCAACATCTCACTTCCCCTGGCATTCATGCGCTTACTATGACAGTTGGCCTCAGAAGAAACGTATCACCCAGGTCTGTGTTTCTGGGCACAGGTGTGCACAAGCAGCACCCCTAGAATTGGTTTAGAGGAGTAGCTCTTGGTCCCCCCCTTAAATTGTAATTTTAGTGAAAGGTTATAAAGATGTTTCCTCTGTTCACATACCTCCTTCCCCCCTCTGTCTCCCTCCCCCAACTCACTTTGTAGTGTATGCCCTGTTCTAGATTGTTACATTATTCTATTACCATGCACAATGTTTAACCATTCGGCCTTTCCTTGCTTGGTTTGGCAGGACCTCGAGTTGCTTAGCTAACCGCTCCCTTCTCTCTTGTCTCTCCAGAAGCAGATGTTCCAGGAGAGGAGCAGCCGGATGCTGCAGGCCTTATCCCCGAAGCAGAGCCCCATCAACAGCCCCACCAGGAGCCGTTCCCCGAGCCGCTCTCCATCACCCACCTTCCCGTGGCTCCCCAACAAGGCCTCACCCCCCTCCTCACCCAAAGCAGCCTCGGCCTCCATCAGCAGCCTGAGTGAGGGGGACGAGGACGAGAAGTAACTGCTGACCGACGACCAGAGCCACACTACACAGGGTGGGGGAGGATGGGGGGTTAGGTGGGGTGCCTGATTGATGATGGGAAGGTCACAGTCACTGATACTGCAGTGCGGCAGTGGGACCCTGACCTGTGGTAAAGCACAGTCCCAGGACCCCTTCTTCCTGGGTCTCCACCCAAGACATGGGCTCAGCATAGGGTTTAGCTGGAAGACCTACCTTCTTAGCACCATTTTGAGACATTCTACTTTAACCTAGTGAAGGAGAGAAATGGGGCACCCCGGGGAGCCCTGCACTGGATAGGGTGTTCCCTGCTTTGACCTTACCCTCATCCTTGCCACGGAAACCAGCAATGGAAGCGGCCGTTCCCTCAACCTGCTACTTCAGGCTCCATCAGGGCCCTGCACGTTGCCTCCAAGCCCCCACCCCAGCTCTGCCAGAACACAGTTGTTTCCAATGCAGGTGGCCAACTGCTTCAGAACTGGTCCATGTTAAGGCAAACTGCAGTGGTCGTAGTTCAGGCCTGGTGTTGCAGCTCACCAACTCTCCGATTCAAGCAGCGTTGCTTGGAGATCGTCACTTTGGGGCCCAGTCTAAAGGGCCATCTTGTACAAAGATCAAATCCTTCATGGTGCAGTTTTGTGGCGGACACATGCTCCTGGGTGTACTTCTTCACGGGCTGGATTTGCTGTGTTGATGGGAAATGCCACAGAGGAACACATCCTCTGGAGATTTCCAAAGCAAGAGCTGCTTTGCTTTGTCTCCCAGCTGGGCTGATGGGAAATGTCTTGTGAAACTACTCCCTAAAGGATGTCTGTATAGTATGGCTTTCCCCACTTCTGGCCACTTAACAGCTTCATAGACCTCGAGTTTCACATACCAAACCACATCGTAAACCAACAGGGGGTGCTGCCTGCACGTGTCCGTCCTCTGTATGCTTCACACATGCCACCCAGGGCGTGGATTATATGCAATCTGAACATGGGGCGATGGCCTCGTCTCATCTATTCTTCCCCAGCTCTTCATGCTAGTGCCCACCTGGTTCATATCTGACTTTGACATTTTGTCAAAAGCTCAGCCTTGATTCCTGCAGAAATTTTTTGTCCCAACTGGGAAATTAGTATGGCATGCTCATGGCTGCCTCCTGACATTTTGTGGGTGAAGGTGGGGGGCTCTGGGAGGGTCTCACACAGAACGGTGTTAACCGGCTCCAGTCTCAGCATTTAATCAGTCTGGGCAAGACTAATTATCCCTTGGCCCCCGACTTGTCAAAGGAGATGAAGACTAAGCATTCCTGCGGAGTTGTTTGAAGTTACTACATCTTAATTACATGAGGGAAATGAGCAAGACTTTTCTTTTTCACACGACTCAAGATTTAGAGCCAGACTGTTGGGCAGAAAGACACGTTTTCCTCATTATTCGAGCCAGAGCTAGGAACTGGCTGAGCGAAGGCCCAAACCATCAACTTGTTGGCAGAGCCCAGCATCTCTTGTGATAGCAACACCCTTTTTAAAAAACTTCAGAAACTTGGTGAAAAGTGGGGCAGCCAAGGAAAGTAGGTGGCATGTTTTTCCTGCTTTGTGTTGGGGTTGAGCTACCTCCCTGCCCACCTGGAGAGGAGGGTTTTGAGGAAGCTAAATTGGGGCGAAGCTGGCTTACCACACCTTTGTTCCTGGCCCACACTCTGCAACTCTGAATAAGACTCACGCAGGGCTGGGGAGCGGCAGGCACATTGCACGTGAGAAGATAGTTCTCTGGCCATCAGGATCCATAATACTGCTCTGCAGAGAGGCAAGAACCCCTTTCATGCCGTGTCCATTTAGTCTGTCAGCCATCTTGAACCACAGGATAGCGGACACATGTAGTTGCTACATGTAGCAGTAAAAGGAGGAGAATCTCAGCAAGGCATGCAAAGGGCTAAGAATTGGGGCAGGGGTTGGGGGAGAAAGATGCCTGGGCAGAGAGAGGGAGATCAAGAAAATCTGCACTCCACCCACTTGAGGACCTCATTTTGTAGATGGAACTATCTCTTGGGGAGGCTTTACTTATTGCCCAGGCCAGGCCACCCCACTTTGACCTGTATCTTGTTCTGGAATAGTGTCAAGTTGATGGATCCATCTGATAAAATATTTGCAGGCCTTATACATCATAGTGACTGTGCCACCGACATGACTCATCAGATTCATTGTCACCATAGCTGCCAATTACACGAAACGACTGATGTCTGCGGTCTCCAGGACGTGGGCCGAAATAACTGGCAAGTTCTCCATCTCACCCTGCATCCCCTCCCAACGGACAACAATACCTTCCCACTCTCAAGGTGACAAGTCTACTGAGAGGAACGGGGAAATTCTCCAACTTCTGATGCCTTGTGGTCATCTCCTAGTTCCTCCAAGCCTTCTTGTTCCCAGAGAGAGGAATGCCTTTGTTGGGGTTGGCCAACCAATTGTAATGACCAAGAGCTGGTTGAGACCGAAATGAGAGATAAAATATACAAGATTGGAGTAGTAAACATGTAAAGCAAGGGAAGATTCTATGGTGAAAGAAGAAGGAAGCATCACACAGGAGGGCTCCAGGACAACACTGGAAGATTGTGGGAAGAGGGCAGGGAATGATGGGAGGAAATGGGGCTACAGTGGGTGAGTTCCTATTTTCTGCCTCCTCTGAAGTATCAATACATGGCTAACAGGTGCAGGAAGGGGTGCTGTCAAATGTTCCCAAGATGAATGGGCAGACCTGCAGAATGGAGACCTCTTGCCTCTTTAACTTCCTCATTTCTGCACTAGTTACTGCATCTTTGGGGAACCCCAAAATCAAATGTACACCTCCCAATTCAGAAACAAGGGTGGCATCTGTGGGATTGTCTCATTGTTTCTGACAAGCTCTGTTCCTGGTAGCCAGGAACTTACTGTGGGAAACAGGGGCCTGGCTTCTGCCCTGCTCCAGGTTGAAGGGACAAGATGGGGGTCATCTCAGTCCATGCCTCAGGCTATTGGAATTCTCCCCCTTAAGGGAGGGCTGGTAGGACTGCAGATTCATTTTCAGTACTACTTTTAGCACCCAGGGAGGAAGGGGAGAAGGCATGAGTCGGATGAGCTGATGTCATGCAGAGATGTGCCCTTTTCTCAGGCATCCGATCACTACTGGTCTAGGCTGTCAGATTACAGAAGAATAATTAGCTCATGAGACATTCTGCAACTTCTGTGGCTCTTCAGACTCTAGTTTCTTTGTTGTGTCGCCGCAACACATCCAGGGACAAAGCCATAAGTAGCGTAGCAAGGACATGCTGTACATATAAGGCAAGAATCCAACAACATGGGCGAAAGCACGACCTTCTGCTCACGCATTTGCTCTGGTGCTGAATAACGCGAACCACTGGAATCCGCCCCCGTCCCCCTCCCGCTCTCAGATGGCACATCCCCAACCTGTTTATAAATAAAGGGATGCAGAGTTACATTCGTGCTTGTCCTGTGCCTCTGTGTGTTCCTATTCCCATGCTCTGGCTGGAAGGCATTGCAGCAGCTCTGCGGGCCAGGGCTGTATGACTGACATCTCTGCCCATAGCGCTCCCTCCCAGGGCAGCCGACTCGGTGCTGTATACTCCAGGGCCACACGTGAAGCCGAAGCTAAAAAGGCCCATGAGGTAGGTGGCAGGAACTCCAACCTGAGAACTCTACTGTGCACTTCCCTGCTGACCTTAATCACTTTACTTTTCTAAGAGAAGGGCCTGAATGGGTTATGGGCTGTTTTCACCTGTGAGAGACTCAAGTGATGAGGCCTTGAGGCTGTCACCCAGAGACTGGAGGAAGTTCCCAGCCCCCGCTGCGTGGAGCATCTCTCTGCCTCAACCTCGACATCCCAAGTATCAATACAAAAGGCTCTGGGCTTAGACTCGTCTTCTCTGGAATGCCTTTCAAATGTACCTGAACTATTTGACCACTCTACCATCCTTGGGGGAAGTTCCTCTGATCAATTTGAGGTAGAAAAAGGGATGGAGACAGGAAAATCAGGGTGAAGGCACTCGAGCTCCTGCTAGCACCGTGTAGGAGCTGTCGTGAGCGTCTGGAAGAGGCTGGCTCTCTGAGACAGAAAAACTGGCATTCTTGGAGCAAGAGAATCACTCAAGTCAGCAGGGGAATGAAATGATATACGGAGTGACTATTCACCGACCACATGATTTGGTGTTACCTCCCGCACAGATCAAACACAGTCTTAACAGGCTGAGTTTAGAGAAGTGGTTAGACGTTTCTTCTTGACTTCCGTCATATTTCATAGCTCTCAATGGAAACACACAGTCAACCCCGAAGTCTTAACCAAATTCACATTTAAGGGCCTGGATATTTTTCTCCAAGGAGACTCCGTCTTTGTTAGTAAACATCACCCCAGGAAAAAAGGTACATTTTCAAAAGTGTTCCTGCACACACAGTCTTCGTTAGTTATTAGGATTGAATGCCTAAACAACCTCTACCAGCTGTTCAGCAGGTGTCTATCAAAGATGCCCAATAGAGAGACTTTTTCCGACACTGCTGGAAAATTCCTAAGCCCCAAAGCATTGTTGCTCTTAGGTGCTATCAAGAACCGTACGAACTATATAGGGTCAATGGCAACCATTAACAACAATCTGAATCCTGTCCTATCCTGTGCCATCCTCACCATCTCGACACTTGAGCCCATTGCAGCAGTACCTGTGTCAATTCATCTCATTGAGGGTCTTCTTTGTCTTTCTCAGACCCTCCACTTTTCCAAACATGATGTTGCTCTCCAAGGAATAGCCTTTCCCAGCCACTTGTCCAAAGTACGTAAGGCAAAGCTCTATCATCTTTGTCTCCAAAAGGCACTTTGGCTGCAATTTCTCCAAAACATACTTTGTTTATTCTCTTGATAGTCCATGGGATGTTCAGTACTCTTCTCCACCATCACAGATCAAAGGCACCAATTACTCTTCTATCATCTTTATTCACTGTCTAGCTCTCAGATGTGATAGCAAAGACCATGGCCTGAATTAGGCGCACCTTAGTCCTCAAACTGACAATATTGCTCTTCAGTAATTTGGACAGTAATTAGTAATGTTCCTAAGCACTAAGGTATGACCATGATTAAATCCTTGAAAAAACCAAAAACCCATAAATGGCCAACTGAAGATACTAATTAACTGCTTAAATATCTGTGGGTGCT